GCCAATCTCCACGCTGCCTCCCAGCTTTGCCCCGGCTGCTCCGGGTTCAGTTTAGTGCAGGAAAAACAACCCTCTCTAGGCACACATGGATTTATTCTCTTGATCGGAGAAAGATCTGGAGACAGAAAAGGCTTTTGCTCGCTTTAAGGGGAGTTTGAGTTTCTCACCCTCTTTTATAGCTCACAAACTATTCAGAATTCCGAGTAACAAAACAGCAACATGCTCTTTGCCTGGAGAGCCAATGCAGGGAAATCGAGTTAAAAAGAACAGGCACAGAAAAGCAGAGCTGGGGAGCAGGACTCGTCCAAAACACAGACACTGATGGTGGTGGGGGACTTGTACTGCCAGGACACTCCTCCCAAAACTGAAGCTCTCCCAGGCACAGGCAGTGCCTCTCTGCAGCCCCTAGGACACCTCGTTAAACAGGAACAGCCTGAATGGGTAATTTGGGGTGCTGCTGCCTTAGGTTCCTGAGCTCAAAGAAGGGTGACACGTACCCCTGTGAGCAACCAGCTGCCTCCCTCCTTGTCCCAGCTGTCCCTACACCCCCAGATCCAGCCCATGGACACAGGGATGTGCTGGTGTGTGCCTCACCATGCTCATGCCAAAGGGGGACACACAGGGAAGGGACAGCAAAGGGAATAAAAACCGGGAGGGACGAGTTCCAACAGAATGAACATGGCCACGTAATCCAAGTACTGGAACCCAGGAAGGATTTTCTCTCCAAGGCACTCCTGGCACACCTGGGCTTGGCTGAGATAAGCTGTGAGAAAGGTACAGTCATGCTCCAGGAAATCCCATAACCAGTGCCAGCAGGGTTTGGGAGGTCCCTGGGAACAGGGGAATGCTCAGCCCTCGAGGTGACCCCTCTGACCCCACTGAGGCTGCAAGGTGCTCAGCAGTGCCCAGGAGCACTCCCAGGTGCAGGGCAGAGCTGGCACCAGCACCTGGGGCTCTGCAACCATCCAGAGCCTGCAGGGCTGCCTGAGGCTCCAGCAGCACCTCGGGATTGTGGAGCCCCAGGAAGGGAAGAGCTGACTTCAGGCAGGGGACACAAACTTCCATGTGATGCTCACACATGGCTCCAGGCCACCAGAGGCTGTGCTGCCACAGGAGGGCTCACCCTGACATCCCCAGGTCAGGGAACCAAACCACCCAAAAACTATGGATTAGGGTTTTATTTCTTTCCTTGAACCCAATCAATATGAAAGCCCCTGTTTGAGTGCTAGCAGCGAAAGTACCAGCACCTCCTGACTGGAAACACCACTGTAGCTCAGGTTTCTCACTTCCACAGGGTAAAACCCTGTTCCCTCAGGCAGTGTCACCTGCACACAAACCAAATTCTGGTGCTGGAGCTCTTCTGGCTGGATTCAGCCTGTCCCTTCCCTGCTCCAGATAGGGGACCCCAGGACCTGGAGGTAATCCAGCAGACTGCAGACAGTACCTGCTCCTGCAGCTTCCTGCATAATTTTAGGAATTTCCCTTGCCAGGGGAGCTGCAGGTTGGACATCAGGAGGAATTTCTTCATGGAAGGTGCTGCTCAGGGAGGTTTGGAGTCCCCATCTGTGGAGATGTCCAAGCAATCCCTGGATGAGGCACTCAGTGCTGTGGGCTGGGATCAGGCACAGGGTGGATTCAATGATTGTCTCGGAGGTCTTTTCCAACCTAAACAATTCTGGGATTCTGTGATCTCACACTACTTTCCCTCATCAAGGGCCTTCTGGAACCATCCTTCACCCCCAAACCCTCTCCTGCAAGCCCCACCATTCTCAGTGTGGCTGGAAGCCGAAACCACTGGCAGACAAACACTCGAGGCCAAAATGCAGCAGCTGTTTAAGAGGAACCCGACTGCTCAGTGCAGCCTGAAAAAACATTGCTGGGGGGAAAACGCACAGGGAGGCAAAATTAGAGTGCTGGGATTGAAACAAAGGCAGAGCAACGTTGCCAAAGTGGAAAACACAACTGCTTGGTCACAGTTCTTAACACAGATACGCCCTGGCAGGGACAACAGCCTGGACCTGGCGAATTAGGGACACACCAAACCCAGCTCTTGTAACACTCACCAACCCCAGTCGCTGTCTCTGACCCCAAAAAGGAAGCTGAACCCAAGGGAAATCCTCCCCGCTGCCCTTCCCAGCACACCAGCTCCGGGATCCGGCAGCAGCGAAGCGTTTGACAGCGTCTGTCACCGGGACAGCGCTGCAGCGGCAGGGGACAGAGCCCCGGAGCGCGTTTGAAACGAGAAGAGGACAAATCCCACACAATCCACAGTCCGCTGCCTGATCCAGAACGGCAAATGTTCCGCGGCAGCTACGGAGACCTACCCCTAGATATCCCACATTTTGTACATTGTGAGCCCAAATCCCAGGGAAATGAGGTTACTGGGAGGGCAGGAAAGAACCAGCAGCAACACGTGCTGCGGTCGGACAAGGAATGGAGCAGAAAACGACAAAACTAAACAGAAAAAGGCAAAGCTAAGCAGAGTCTGCGATGAGACCCAGCGAACACACAGGGAGGGCAGCGGGGACGATGAGCGAGACCTGGACGGGATTCACCGGGGACGGAACAGCGCAGATGATGCTCGAGCTCCTCTGAGCGCCCCAACAGAGCCGCTGGCAGCCCCGGACACGGCGGGCGGTGGGCACGGGGCAGCCCCGGGAGCCTCCGCCGGCACCTCCCCGGCCCGCGGCCCAGCGCCCCCGGCCCGGCCCGGCCCATCCCCTTACGGAGCCGCCCGGCGCGGCTCGCTCGGCTCCCCCCGGCCCGCCCGTACCTCCCAGCGGCGGCGGCGGCCGCAGCGCCGGTGCCCGGTCCCGGCACATCGCGCCCGGGCCTGCTTCTCTCTGCCGCCCGGCCCGGAAGAGCCGCGCCCAGCGCTCCTCGGGACTTGTAGTCCCACGTGCCGCTTCCTGCTCGCGCCGCCGAGCAGCTCGGACTACAACTCCCAGCACCCCTGCACACAGTCACTCCATGCTACAACCACTGTTGCTACTGGTTCGGCCCGGCCTCCTGCAGTGACCAATCAAAAGGCGGCAGCCGCCGCCTCGGGCCACGCTGCGCTGCGCGTCGCCATTGGCACGGAGGAGAACGGTGGCCAATCAGCGCTGGGAGAGGCGGGGCGTTGGTCACGCCAACCGCTGGCGATTGGCTGTGCCCCAGCAGCCTGACCAATAGCGGCGTCGCAGGGGCTATAAAAGATGTAGCGTGGAGCACGTGCGTTCTTTCCAACCAGAGGTGCGGGACTGGGTGGGACAGGGCGGGTGGGAGCGGGGCCGGTAACGGCGATATTACCGAGGGCGGGCCGATGATGATCCACATTCACCTTTCTGACACCTCGTCTGAGGGCGGCGGGCGGCCGCAGCCCCTGCTGAGCAGCTATGGCTGAGGTCCGCGGTACCCGCGGCCTGGCTGGGCGGGCGGTTCGGGCTCCTCCCCTCACGCGCTGCCTTCTCCCCTCAGGGCTCGGCGCGAATCGGTCGCCGTGTACGGCTCGGCGGTGGCGGCGTCCCGGAGCCTCCGTGCCCGATCGGCGGCAGTCCCGGCGTTCCGGGCCGGTAAAATGCGGTGTTCCTGTTCTGGTGATTGCGGTAAGTGGGGCTGAGCCCCGTGGGGAAATGCTCCTGCTCTGCAACGAGGCGGCTCTTGAAGCGCAAAGAAGCAGTTGCAGAATGGGCTGGAGGAAAGAATTCACCGACTTCTACCCTCCCTCATGGGTTAGTTCAAGGTGAATATCCTGGCAAGGTGGTGGGTGCAGTAGTGTAAGTAAGTGAAGGGATTTACACTATTAACTCTAGTGCTACAGCGTGTAGATGAAGAATTTAAATATTTTTTTCTGTTTAGTTTCGTGGAACATAACAAGTTACTCCTAAAATGTTTTCTCAGTCTCAAGATCAGCCTTGTTCATAAATGCTTTACTGCTGTACTTCTGCTTTGGCTTCTATATGAAGCAAATTTTGTAGCTTACAGGTGAATAAAGTTTTGAAAAGTCTGGGTTTTGCTTCTTTTTTCCATGGGTGACATGTAACTCCAGAGACTGATGGAAATGTTGTGTGGGCACCCAGTGGAATTGAAATTTGCTGCACTTTGCTCAGCCCTGTTCCCTTCTTTGGAATCTTGGACTCACTCTGGATTAAAAGACCTTTGAGACCCGAATCCAACCATTGTGCCACATCCACGTGGTTGTTCCAGCCCTTTTTTGGGAGGAGAAATTCTCCCCCAATACCCAATTTAAACTGCATCACACCCTGGTTCTGCCATGTGGATCCAGCTGCTTTCAAAACTGAGCTGAAACATTGGAATGACTGACAGTGCTGTGTGTTTAGATAATCAAAACGCCGCTGTAGCCACAGAGATAATTAAAAAATTTTATTAACAGGAATGAACCAAAAGCTGTAAACAAGAGCCAGCAGAAATGGGATGCTGCAGGTGAGGCCGAGACCTCGCACATGGCTGGGTGCGCTGAGCAATTAACTCGAATAATTAACGCTGCGCTGAGCAATTCCGCGTGGTGGCAGCAAAGGCCCGTGGAAAAATCCCAAATGGCCGTGAGGAGGAGCTTTGGGGCCAGGCCAGTGAGCAGGCACTGGGGGAGAGGGGCTGAGCCTGCTCCAAGTTTAGGTCTAAACCACAAACACGGCTGTGGGGCCTCTGCTGTAGCAGAGTCTGCTCCTCACAGACGGGCTGGGAGTGCTCCAAAGAGAAACATTTACATCTTTCTCGTTTTAAAGGAGTTTGCATTGGTTTTAGACCTACACTGAGAAAGAAGTGAGCAGTTTTCAGCTTTGTAACCCTCATAGATGCCAGTCTGAGGGAGAGGGGGAAGGTAGCAACCTGCTATTAGGAATCCTAATCCATTAGGAATCCTAAATTTTGCCTTTAGGGAGACTCCTTGCCACCTCGGGATGGGGCTGCTGCTGCTCCAAGGGCAGGATGAGGAAAAGTCGTGGAGCTGCCAGGCTGGTCCTGCCCCACACAAAACCAAATTACCAAATTAAATCACAGAGCTCACCTGGCTGATCCTGCAGGACTGGCAGCAGGGTTTGCCAGGAATGCAAACGTTCCTGCAGGAATGGGTTTTCCACAGCTGATTTTAAAATTTAAATCAGACAATTTTAAGACTTGTCTCTCCCCTGAAATACTATTCAGGGAAAAAAAACAGATTCATTTTAAGATTCTTTTTCACCCTGTGAAGCTGTAGCTGCTCGTGGTGCTGTAGCTCTCTGAGCACGTGGGAGCTGCAGAGGCTCCTTGTGCCCATCAGGAAAGTGGTGCTGGAGCCAAAATCTCTGGAAAAATGAGGGGCAGGGGCATCTGAGTCAGCAGCTGGGGGGGCTGGTGCTGGCTGGAGGGCAAAGGATGAGTTTTTCTATTTCGTTTGGAGAAGCCACCAAGGCTCAGCAGGCACCTGCTGATGTGTGCGTGGAGTTTTCAAAGGGAAAAATTGCCAAAGGCCAAACACTTCATCCAGATTCAAATTTGTACTGAGAAGTGCAGCTTGACAAAAAAACAGCCAAAAGCCTGACACAGACCAAAGGGGGTGAGGAGGCCCTTGAAGAGAGCTGGCAGGAGTCTGCAGCCTGTAAAATCACTGCCTGCAGCTTCCCCCCAGCTCTCTGCAGTGAAGGGAAAGAGCTGCCCAAGAGAACTTTGAAGATATCAAAGCGTTGTTGCAGTCTGAAAACACCATCACACTTACAGGAAGGTATTTAGAATAAGCTGCAATACATTAGGTTTCTTCTCAAAGTACTAGAAAGGGCAAAAGGAGGAGAAGCAGAGCCTTTCCCAAAGGGATGAACATTCAGAAATCTCTGTACACAGCCAGGTGGGCAGGAGCTCACTCAGACAGCCAAGCTCTGCCTTTGCAGGGAACAGGAGAATCCCTCACTGTGGAAGCGTGTCCCACCTCACAGGGATGGACAGACAGGAGAAAGCAACTACACAAATGGCTGCCTTCAAACACACCTTTCCTGCACGCCCCAGGCCAGGGCTCTCAGCTGAATTCCAGGTGCACAGGGAAAGAAAAGGGAATTCAGGACTTTTTCCTACCAAGAAAAAAAAATCAGGATTTTTTTTTCTCCTAGGTGGGGAGAAGGTGTTGGTTCCCTTGTGTCTCACCCTGGCTCTCACAAAGGTTACAGCAGCCTCACAGAGCAGGCACAGGAGACCCCAGCCCCTTCCCAAACACCCACCTCCCACCTGGGCAGGAGCGCTGGCCAGGGGAGCCGGAGCCGATGGATACGACGGGGCTGCAGAATCCCAGAGAGCTTTTTCCTGCTGCTCCTGTGCCCTGGTCCCAGCTGGCCTTCGGGGCAGACACAGACACGACAGACAGACATGCACACACTGCCCACGGGCCTGAGTCTCTGTACAAACACTCTTCAGGACCTGCAGCAGCCCGAGCCTCGCACTTCCTTCTTCACGTAGTCGTGGAGCTTGAATTTGGGCTCGTTGGGCAGCTTCATGGACCTGTGCTTCAGCTCCCTGGGAAAGGGGAAAGATGTTACTTTTATGCTGCTGCTTCTGGCAGGGAGAGAATTTTGTCTGGAAGGAGCCAGAGAGGGAGTTTGGACAAGGGCATGGAGTGACAGGACAGAGGGGAATGGTTTTCCACTGTCAGGGCAGGGATGTTAAGAAGGAATTCTACAACCTGGCACAGGTTGCCCAGAGAAGCTGTGGCTGCCCCTGGATCCCTGAAGTGCCCAAAGCCAGACTGGACAGGGCTTGGAGCAGCCTGGGATGGTGGGAGGTGTCTCTGCCCATGGCAGGGGTGACACTGGTTGGGCTTTAAGGTCCCTTCCAACCCAAACCCTTCCAGGATTCCATGATTCCAAGCTGCCTTGCCCAGCTCAGTTGATCTCAGCGTGGCCTGGATGTTGCTAAAGCTCCTCCTGATGACAAGGCACTGCTCTGGTCACTTACTTTGCAATGGCTGTGAACGCTAACTCCACGTTGAGGCCGCTTTTGGCACTGGTCTCCATGAAGGGCACTCCATATTCCTGTGGGAAGAGACAGCAGTGTCAGGAGTGGCACCGAGGGTGTTCCCTGGGACTCTCAGGGAGTAATTTTGAGGACAAAGAAACAAGAGGTGTTAGTAGAAACTTGAAGAACAGATGAGGAAAATGGGGAGAGCATGACAAGGGAAAAAAAGCCAAAAAAGCCAAGTGTTCCCAGGTGTATTTTGGGTCAGACTGGTCTCCAGGTGACCATTTCCTGTGCACATCCTCAGGGACATCCTCTGATACCTCACCTACCTTGGCAAGTTTCTCTCCATCTTCCCTTTTCACCACTCTGTCCTGGGCTGAATCCACCTGCAACAGGAACGGCCAAGAGCAATTTGTGGTGATTGGGAAGGTCACCAGCATGTACCTCCCTGTCCCCTTCTGCCCTGCCAGGCTCCCCTGCCTGTGGCTGCAGCGTGGGAGGAAGAGGAGGCTCTGGCAATGCCCTGGGGCCAGGCTCACCTTGTTTCCCAGTAACATGAGGACCACATCCTGCTGTGCATATTCATGGATCTCTGTCAGCCAAGCCTGGAGAGACACAGCCAAAGAGAGGGGTTGGCAATGGCTCCAGGAGGAGGAGGGGAATGGGAATGGGAATGATGGGGAGCTGCCCCACTCCTGGCATGGACACCCTCAGTAGGCAGTGCTGTCATCCCAAAAAATGCCAGGGATGTTCCACGGATGATTCCTGTCAACAAAGGGGTACCCTGGGGTGCCCCCAAGCCCTGGGGGACCCACTTGCCAAGCAAGCCCAGCACCTCACTTTTGCTGCTACCAGATCCCCATTTCCCAGGGTAACAGCAGCCTTCTGACCCCCCCCTGCCCACTCCATCTGCCATGGGGTGCTTGTAGGGCTTTGTCCCCAATTCCCCCTCAGTTGGGACGTTGGCTCTGGGATGTGCCCCTGCCCTGCACGTGCTGCCCCCGTGCCGAGCACACTGCTCCCAGCAGGCACTCGAACCTGCCTCCCTGAGCCATGGGGTGGCTTCCCGGCCCTCTAATCCAGCCTAATCCAATCAAACCTGCTCTAATTCCCAGAATTTGCTGCTTCCCGCAGCAAGTTCTCTGCCAGTGCTGTAATTACACAGCGTTAATTGGCCGGAGCAGTGAATCCATCAGCCTTTATTTGCTGTGAAGGGGAGAACCTTCTCTGCCTGTCCCCTGCCTGTCCTTGCAGGTGCTCAGCAGTAACCACAGCTCCTCTGCAGGTGACCACAGCTCCCACCTGCAGCACACAGCTCCTGAAGGAACCCACAACCGCAAGCCGGGCAGTGAGAGGTGAGGGACAGCAGGAGGGGCCGGGGGTGCTGCTGTACCTGGATGTTGTCAAAGGACGCTTTGTTGGTGACATCGTAGAGCAGGAGCAGGGCTGTGGAGAGAGGGACGGGCTGTCAGTGCCTGTGCCAAACCCAGCGCATGGCTCAGAGCACCCTGCACAGCCCCTGTGAGATACAGAACACACGAAAATCCAGAGCAGCAACACCTCACTGTGCTGGTGTTTGCAGAGTCTCCTCCATCCAGGCAGCTGCTTCCCATGGAAATTCCCAGTGACTGCTGGCTCACCTGGCTTGGAGTGGCAGCTCAGGGACCCCAAGAGATGCAGGAAGGGGGTCCCCAAGAGCAGAGGTGGCCGTGCTTACCGTGGGCATCCCGGTAATAGGCGTGGGTGACGCTGCGGAAGCGCTCCTGCCCGGCCGTGTCCCAGACAGGAGCAGAGGGATCACACCTGACCAGAACCCACCCAAACCAGCCCAAACTGCTTGGTGCAACCCCAGGAAGCTTCTCCAGCTTTTGCTCCCAGTGACATCAATAGGAAAAATGACCAGAGCAATAAATATGGAAGCAGCCTCTTCCCGCTCCTCGGTGTGGGGAGACAACGTGGCCAAGGGCTCCCAACACAGCCATTAATCGGAAAATCCATGGAGCAGATGGATGCATGGGGACCCACTAATGTGATTTATCAGTCCTTAATGCAGCAGGAGGTTTGCAGAGTGCTGCCTGGGGGATCTGTGTTACCGAGCTCGGGCCACGGGGCTCGGAGACACTGTGAGATCTGAGGGGGCTCAGCTCTGGCTGCAGGGGCACAAGGGCTGGGATCACTGTGGCCAGAACAGCCCCCAGCCCTGAGCAGGCTCCTGCCAAGGGGACAGAGCAGCCACAAGGGTCCATAAGGCTGTCCCAGGGCAGGAGACACGACCACAAAGGATAGAGGTGGGGCCCCATTTTGGGGGTGCTCCTCTGCTTTGTCCTCTGAGGGGCTTTGTCCATCTCTGAACACCCAGGGCAGCAACAGAGATGCTTCCAGGGACATGGGGACATACCTGCAGCTTCACCTTCACCCCATCCACTGTCAGCACCTTGTTCTGAAAGAGAATGGAAAGGGTGGTGAGGGGTGAGAGCAGCTGCAGAACACCAAGGGAGGCACGGCCAGCCCCCATCCCAGTCAGTGTTCCCCCAAACCCTCGGGTTAATCCCCTCTCCTGCTTCTTAAACTCCCATCCATTGGTCCCAGCACCTGCAGAGCCGTTTTCACCATGGCCCAGCCAGAGGATCTCTCTCTGTATCAGCACAAGTTGCATCCATTTGGGTACCTAAATCCTGGCAATGCCACACTCAGCTCAGGCTGGAGACCTCTGGCCATAAATTAATGAGCACCAGCATCCCACTTTAATGGCCTTTAAAAGACAAGAGTCAGCCACTTCACATCCAGCCAGCAAATTAAAAATAACTCCTGCTCCTGCCTCTTGGACTGTTTTTCTTCTGGTTTCTCTCTCAGGATTTTCTCCCCCATTTTGCTTGGTTTTAGGAAAGGTAGAACCGAGGAGGAGAGGGAGAAGTGTCTATCCACACCGGGTTTTTTTCCCCAAAGCCAACAGGATATTTTATGTGGAAGGATGCTCTGGCAGAGCTGGGAGCTGTGTGGGAGCCCTTCGGGGTGGCTGTGCCAGACAGGGAGGGCAGGAGATGGATCCTGACCATCACCATCCCAGCAATCTGCACCAGCCTCTCCAAACATTAAAGGAATGCAAGCCTACATCCCGGCAGCCCCAGGGGAAGGAGCAGAGATTAATTTGCTCACCAGATCCATAGAAATTAGCACAGTAATCAGTGGGACGTGCTGGAAACACGGCCAGGGAACAGCACACCATTGGGATGAGGCAGCTGGTGGCTGCTCTGGTGATAATTTAAATCCCATTTCCTCCATTTGCTCTGGAGCTGGTTTGGGATGCTCCCATCTCCCACCTCACGTGGCCATGGGATGGATGATGCTGCCATGATCCCAGCTGGGCTCAGCCCTGGCTCATCCACCCCCAGCACTGGACACGCCACAGCCCCTTCAGTGCCACCAAACCTCCCCAGGAATCCACGCCAAGATCCATCCCTGCACATCCCACACTGCTCAGCACCACCACCCCTCCAGCTGCTGGTGAGGCTCTTCATTGATGGTTTTAATGAGGGCAGAGGGAACATCTCATCTCCTGCACATCTACACAAGGATCTGGCGAGGAGGAGAGGGCAGGAGGGAGCCGGAGCTGAATCCTCCTTCTGCTCAGGCAGGCGCAGGAGACGGCCGGGGTTTATAAATACCTTCAAAGGCAGCGACTGAGACGGGGGAGAGAAGTGATTCACAGCCCGGGAGCTGTAAAAATAGGCAGCCAGGCACTGTGGGGTGGGGGAGCTGGGGAGTACTTGGGGAAAAGCCGGGGTTCGGGGAGTTTAGGGCTCCCCACATGCGGAGCTGAGCCTTTCCCAGGATGTGACACCAGGACTCCTGAAGGCTTGAAGTGTCTAAAACCCAGTTTCCCCACTGCCACAAAGTACTCCTTGGACCTTGGTGTCTCTGCCTGGGGCTCTCAGGTGAGCAGGGACAGAGCCACAGCCACGGCAAACAGCTCTGAGCTACAGCTCAGCCTCGTCCCAGAGCATGGGGGACAGCCCTGTCCTAACCTGTGCCACATGGGGACAGCCCTGTCCTAACCTGTGCCACATGGGGACAGTCCTGTCCTAACCTGTGCCACAGGTGAGACAGGGCAGGTTTGTGCTCTGCAGGAAATCCACTCTCCGAGCTCACCTTGCTCTCCAAAACCCTGGCTGCTACGTGCTGGACTCATCCCACAGGCTCTGCACTGGCACAATGCCATTCCAAACACCATTCCCAGGTGCCAATACCACCTGCCAGGGATCATGCCAGGGACTGCAGAGGAAGGCAGAGGCTCAGTTTCACCATCAGCCCCAGCTCTTGGCAGGAGGGGACGAGGACACTTGGTGTGGTGGATGGTGAAAAGGGACAAGGACACAGTGAGCGTGACATTAAAACCAGCACCAAACATGTGCCCTTCCCGTGGCCACCTCAGCACCTTCAGCTCAGAGCAGAGCGTGTGGCTGTGCCCAGGGATGTGCCCATGTCCCCAGCGTGGCCGTGCTCCAAGGTGACAGAACGCCGTGGGTGGCAGGGAGGAAGAACATGGCCCCAGCCCTGAGCATGGATCATCCAGGCTAGAACCACCTTGAAGCATCTGGTGAGCAGCCAAAAAAGCTGAAGCTCCAAAGGTGCCCCACATGCACTGACCTTCACTGCAGGAGTTAATTAACACGGAGCCAGCAGCAACAGGAGTCACACTAATTACGACTGACCTGTATTTTTAGGGAGGTAAATGCTTTAGACCTAATTAAAGTCTGCACAGGGATCCAGGTGCTGCTGGACCAGCCTGGGGAAAAAAAATTGATTTTCTGAGGATTTGGCGTGGAACAGAGCAGGGTTCCAGGGTGAGAAGCTGTAGAAGTGCAGAGCAAGCCAGAGCATCACTCCTGCCTGCATCCCAAAGAAATTTGCCCAGAGAAGCTGTGGCAGGAGCTGGGTGGGAAAGGACAGGGGTTGCTGCCAGCAGCATACACCAGTGTGGTTCAGATGAACCAGCTGCCCAGGTCTCCCCCACACCACGGCTGACTTTCCAGCTTCCAATTTTTAATTTTTATTTTTTTTTAAGGAGATGCCTCAATTCCCTCCTGTCAGCCCTTCCAAGGCACAGCTGGGGGCTGAGCTCCTAATAAGCATCCAAAGACAAAAGACGCCGTGTGTCAATGCACTGAGACGTGAAATGTGCTGCCAGCTCTGCCGGCGAAGGGAGGGGCTGTGCTGCTCAGGGCTCCTTGCTCATCTCACCCTGTTTGTTAGAACAGAGGTAACGCTCCCAGCAGCCTCCTGCCGCGATTTGGAAAACCATCCCTGCACCTCAGCTCTGCTGCTGCCCTTCCCAATTGCAGTTTTTGTGTCCTTTTTCCTGGGGCGGTGCAAACGTTATTGAAATCTCGTCTAGCAGTGGAATGCCTGCAGTGCCTGGGGTGGACAAACACGACGGTCCGAAGTTAAATAATCTTCAGGACATCAGATAAACAAAGTTGGAAGCTTGCAGATGCAGGAAAAATTAAATTACCAAGTGCAGATGGTCCTCAATTAAGAGCAGCATTATCACACACCGAGCCCCCGCTGGCTGCAGCCCTGGCACGATCCCACAGCCACGAGTGCCCGGGAGCAGCAGAAGGGAGGGAGGGGAAGGTGATGGAGCGAAACCACTGCTGCTGAAACACTCACAGACCATGCTCCCACACAGATCCCACAGCAGCTGCAGGATGGGCAAACGCCAGAGCCTGGATCACAGTGGCTGAAAATCCCACCAGGAGCAGCTGGCACATCCCCAGGTGCCTGAGCCCACAGCACTGAAGCTGCAGCACACCCCAGGATCAGCAGCATCGACAAGCCAGCCTCTCCCAGCTTTTACACGCATGAACTCATTAATTAAAGCCTTTAAAGTTAAATTGGATACATGGATCAATTTGCTTTGCAATTAACTGGACAAATGGGAAGCTGCTTGCTGGCACCTTTCAGGCTCCAACCAGGGGACCCCCAGGCTGGCTCCTGTGACTGTCCAGGAGTGCCCACCCAAGCACCCTCCTGCACAGGGGGGCTCCACTTTTACCATGGAAAAGAAGCCCCTCAAATGTCATTATTGGGCCTCGGAGGCATCTCCTGCAGCTGAGGGGGGCAAATTCCTGTCAAAATGGGGATAAGTGGCATTAGTGACTACAGATCAAAGTGGGTGCAGGCGCTGGGGCAGCACAGAGTTAATTAGTGCCAGTAATGAGCTGTGGGACTGACAGCGCAGCCACTCAGAAATGTCATTAGGTTGTGGTGTCACCGGGCCAGGCCACCCAGGAGCGAGGGATAGATTGGGTTATCCTTTATTTCAGGAAGCCAGGAGACACCCAGCAGTGCAGGACTGGCTCAAGGGATGCTGGAGCCCCCCCAGCCCCGTGCCAAGGCCAGACCAGGAGCCAAATTCCCACCTGGCAAAGCCCAGGGAGCCTCTGTGAGCACAAACACTCCTGTGCCAGGAGGAAATGGGATGAGTTGTGATATAGCAGACACACAAATAACCACCACCTCCAACGGCGGCTGCAAAAATAGATCAAGGATCGATATGGAAATCTGCCCAAAACACCAGGACACTGCATTAAATTTGCTCGTTAAAACCCTGAGGTTTTTTCACAGACATGCATGTCCAGGGAGCTGCTCCTGGTGGCTCAGCATCTCTCCAGGCACAGCACCTGGCTCAGGGACATCCCAGCCAAGGCCAGGATCCAGGAGCAGCCTCACTTTTCCCCCTTGGTGCTCCAAAATCTTGATCCCTCCAAATCCAAGCAGTGCCCAACCCAGCACAGCCCCTCCATGGAGAACACAGCCAGCCCAGCACTCCAGCCTGGGAAAACCCTTCCAGGAGCACATTCCCTGCAGGACAGGGCAGGGCACAGCCTGACCTGTGCTGGAACCTGGGCAAAGCCTCTGGACATGGGGAGAGCAGCAATGTGGGCTGCAGGCAGGGCTGTGCCGTGGTCCTGCTATGCTGTGTGAGGCTGGAGGATGTCCCAGGCACTGGGGATCACATTCAGTGCTCCTCTTCCTCCTCCTCCTCAGCTGTGCCATCACCAGAGACACTCATGAGCATCCCAGGTGGCCAAAACACCCCAGCACGGTTCCTTCTGCCTTTTCCATAAATCTTCCCTTCAGAGAAAAATCCCAACCATCCATCTTCCGGGGCAGGTGATGAATTCCTCAGCAGCTCTGTGCATTTGCACTGTGCAGCTAAAAATAGAAACTTCTGCCTTGGGATGTTTTCCTCCCCAGGCCTTAGCACACTCCTGCCTGCTCCAGCGCCGGTGCCAAGATCCTTTCAGAGCCCACAACGAGCTCTGGCTGCTCAGATCCTGCTCAGTTCCTTGGCAGGTCCCAGGAAATGCAGATTAACACCACAGCCCCTCACAGCACACAGCCTGCTCTGCTGCCAGAGCCACCCCACAGCCCCTT